TAGCCTCTCTGTGCTGCTTCCCCCCAGTGGGACCCCTCCTCCACTGAGTGATATTACAAGCGGCAGCCGTGCGCCTCTGATCTACATGCGCTGGGCTCCCTCCTGGTCCTGGGTGAATAGCGCTTGACTTGTTCAATTTGTTTAGAAGCCGCGTTCGACGCTTTGAAGCCACACATTTTAGCATAAATCATAACCTGTCTCCTTGCTCACAACTGCTTTGAAATGCAACATCTGCTTTTGAATCCCCTGCTTTACAATTAGTTAGGCAACATCAATAGATTGACTCCCTATAATTTTTCTTGATAATGAACTGCTTTGTACACGTGCAAGGGCATTAGTGGGGGGCCCATTTGATTTTTTTCCAGGACAAGGTCCTGAGACAGATCTGTCCTCATCACCCTCACCACGCCGCTGCGGTGTGAAGTTCCTCAACTGCTCAGCTTGTCCTGACTACAACCAGACACACGTGTTAAATTGGGTTACCCTCCATGGTAACCTACTTAGGAAGTGTCATGGTTGTGGGGCATGTTACCGGGCCATGTTGTTTACTCTTTCATCACATTCTTCAGGTTCCCTGTTTGTTGGTTTGTTTTGCAAAGCACAGCCTTCTGTTCAGCTGTGGGAAAAGTGCGGAATCAAAGTCCCGGAGAGCAGCCCGACGTTGACATTGATAAGCTTGGCCTGTCACTATCCGTTTGTCTGAATGACATTGATGTTCAGGTTGGATCTCTAGAGGAAGAAGCACACACAGAACCCAGGTGCATATGCTACTGCTGCTGTGTGCCGAAGGAAGAAAAGTCTAGCAAGTTTGCTTAATGAACTTTGTACAGTTCAAAAGTGAATGCATTGAATGAAAGGGAGTACACACAATATTAGCAGTAGTAGTAGTTGCTCAATATACTGAACCAAAGTGGAAACTCACAAAAAAACGAATCCATCAGTCAGAGACCTCTCATCAGCTGCATTAAGAATTCTTTTTGCAGGTTGAAGGGGAAAATAACAATCCCAAAGATTTTATTTTCAAAGGCAGGTATTTGATCAGTAGTCATCAATTAAACTTACTGAGGTGCAAATTACACCACAAGGATTAGATGAAAGAGCCCCTGTGTCATTTTCTCTCCCCCTCCTCCTCAAAGCTTGGCTTGGTTTGCGGTACACACAAACAGCAGGCTGATCCCTGGCATGGTGGTGACAGGGTGACACTTCCCCTCACATTACGCAGGCTGAGCTGACTGAGGGGCTTAACAGATAGTGGCATCACAGGCGTACATTTACAAATAAATCTACTGCTCTGGCTGTGCGGCACTCCTCTGCTCATGTAGCCCCTTGTATCTCCGCTCTGCATTTCAGATTTCAGCTGGATCCTTGCCATAAGTCACCAGTTACCATACCGACATCCCTCTTCCCAGATGGTATTTTGGGGGCTTCCTGGGTAATATTTATGAAATGGGGTCCATGACTTTGATGGTATGTTCTTAACCCTACGAAAGGCCTTCTGCACAGACATCAATTACACAATAATCTTCTTGTGAGGTTAAAGAAGGTTAAACATGTTCATGAAGCAGAACATTAGTGACTATCCATTCTTTTTGATAACTCCTCTGATTTTTTCCCTGTTTCCTTCTGGAGTCAGTCCCCCCACTGAGTACAGCAGTGTAGATCAGACGGCATTATCACATGTGACAGGTGCTCACATCTCCCACAACCACGAACAAAGCAATAAGATCAATTGGCAGGGGTCTCTGGATGCTACAATACCCACATTGAATTGGTGGCTGTTGATGATATTGTCAAGTGTTACAGCTAATTATTTACCTCTGTTCATCTTTGTCTAAACGCGTTAGGAAACACTTCATGATTGATAAGCCCATTGTTTCTTTTGTCTTTGCGTTTGCTTTTTTATTATTCATTTTATGTGGCATTGTACAGACAGGCAATTGTAGGGAATTCATCTTTTTAGGGAATCTACACAGCAAACCCTATGAATAAACAATTATTTTTTCCTGGTAAATTAGTTATCATTAATTTTAAATGTTGTGTTGGGATATGTATTAACATAAACGTATTGTGCTCAGAAAAGGTGCGACAGTGGATACTTTAGGCACCAACAGGAAATTCACAGAGGATGACAGACGACTGACAGACACACTGTCAGTGTCTTTTATTAAACAGAAGCAAACATGTATATGGTATAAGTAAATATGAACATAGTCTAAGACTAAACAGGACAACAAAGTTAGGCAAGATAAATAGCAACGTCTCATATATGTGTATATACACATAAACAACAACTATACAAACATACAGTATCTATAGGGGAAAGTGGGGTAAGTTGAGCCATTTTTTAGTTATGCTGTCCTCTAAGCAATGATAATAATTAATATTTGATCAAGGGCAGTGAAAATATTACTTCTTTAAAAAAAAAAGCCTTGTGTTGCCCCAGTGTAGGGGTAAGTTGATCCAGGTCAGGGGGTAAATTGAACCACGGTTCAAACCTGGGCATACCTGTTCAAACCTGGGCATACCTACAACAAATCTTAAAGGTAACTATAAACAATAAATAACAAACCAAATAGAAGCTTAGTTTTTCAAATATTTTTAATATTATTTATTGTTTATAGTTACCTTTAAGATTTGTTGTAGGTATGCCCAGGTTTGAACAGGNATTATTTGGTGCAGGCACGAAACATACTACCAATATAAATACCATGCTTCTAAAATCGTTCTGTATCAGAATACTGAAATCTGTATTTTTTTAAATCTAATCTATTTTGTTATTATTTACATTGCTTTTAAAATCGTTGTTGGTGAACACGAATCAATAGATTAATTTTGTGACTATAACACGAGATGCCGTGAGACTGTTTTCCTAAGTTTGTGAGCCGTACACATTATGGTAGGTGGACTTTGTTACCTTCCCACAGACCCATGCTAGCTCACCACCAATTTCCAGTCATTACATTAAGCCAAGAGGAGCTAAACTAAGCTAAGCTAAACTAAGCTAAAGTAAACAAAGCTAAGCTAAACTAAGCTATTTTGCTGCTGGTTCCAGCATCATATGTAGACAACAATTTAATCTACATAGGGGAGAACGGGCTAAGGAACCAGCAGCAAAATAGCTTAGTTTAGCTTAGCTTTGTTTACTTTAGCNAGTCCAAGCGCTCCTAGCTCCAGTACCTCCCGTTCGTTCATGTTTTCAATGGACGAGAGGGAAAATGGAAAGAAAAACGCTATTTGTTGTTTGTTTATATCACGGAGTCTGTTCTTCTTCTCTGTCTTCCGGTTGTTCCGGTTGTTGCCTCTTTTGAATGATGAATACACACTACCGCCGCCTGCTGGTAAGGAGAGTTATTGCCACTCACGCATAGGCAGTTCATACGTGCTCGGCTCGGATTTGCGGTGTGTTCCAGTGCGCGAAGTCGGCAAATACGCAGGAGAGTCCGGCGACGCAAAAGTCGGTGTCGGCGACTTCTCAGGTGACTGGCCGGTGTATCTGGGCAGTAAATGTTCGGCCCGACTCCCATTTACTGCCGATTTTGGGCCGGTGTATCTGGGCCTTTAGCTCCGCCTCCGTAAGATGCGAGCGAGAGACACGAGGAGGTGACGCAAGGACAGAGGAGTCCTCAGGTATTAATTGGGATGTCCTCGTTCACTCAAACGTCACTCTTAAACAACGTCTGTTAATGATGACATGTGCACAGCTGTATCCCCCTCTCATCGGGCTTAACTGAATAACCCCTAATAAGGCCCATTTGAGACATTTAATTTAAATGAATTGAATCTTTCTCTTGTTAGTCAAGGAATTCAATGTATGATGCTGGTCCTACTTTTGTGTTCCGTTTTGGTGTAAAATGTAGCCTACATTTAAATAAAAATATAATTATAGTAATGTGAAAGCCTTTAGAAATGAATTGCACATAATAATTCCCACGGAGCTGTGAGCACTTATACATTTATGTGACGCTTATTTATGTGACTCATCTTCCAGATGAAGGTTTTCCTCTGTTGAAATCGACCAGCTGTGAAGGTGGGGGCGGGGCTTTTATACGCGAGTAGTGAAAACACTTCCGCGTAGTCTGCTCGCGTTCATCCTCCCTTTCGTCTCCTCCCGCACCCCTCCTCCCTCACCCTCCTCGACTCCTCCGTGTGCATTTCAGCTATTGGGACGTCATTCAAAATGGCGTGTCTTGATCGATTTCCGGGTCAAGTCCCGGAGGAGGGGAAGAGAGGAGTCGAGGAGGGGTATTGGGATGAGGCTTTCGTATTTCCCCATAAGGCAAGACCCGCCCAACTCTGTCTCTGATGGCTTACCCTGAAATGTTACCCGCGTTAACCAATCATCACTCCTCTCTGGTTACTTTCACTTTTCCATGGTGCTGTCAGAGGACATCGCTGTATTCGCCTGTAAGTTACATCCGCAGGGAGATTCGGTTCAGTTCCATCACATAATGTAACGCAGTAACGCACCCATTTAAATCACAGTAACTATAACGGCGTTACTTAATGGGAATAGGTAACTAGTAACGCTATTAGTTACCACAAAAAGTAGTTGCGTTACAGTAACGTGTTACTTTGTAACGCGTTAGTCCCAACACTGTTAGCTAATGAATGTTTCCATGCTGAACAACGGCAACATTACAACGTTTTCATTGGTCCCTCTTCTTTAGTGAAGACCAGGAAATGATGGATACACGGATCATGTTAAAATCAATAGGCATGCAATGACTCTAAATAATAATAATCACGCCACCAAACACAGATTAAAACAAAAGTAACTAACCTGTTTTGAAAATGTAAGAAGTAAAAGGAAAAAAGTCATCAGAAAAATAAGTAGTGGAGTAAAGTACTGATACCAGAACAATGTACTTAAGTAGAGTAACAAAGTATTTGTGCTCCACTACTTCCCACCTCTGCTAATGCAGCGTGTTACATCATCTCAGAGCAGGCTCTTTTTTGAGGTTGCATGTGTGAGCGAAGCATTTAACAAGCAACTCGGCAGGATGCACTCTTCACAGATGCTTATCCAATGTGATGTGTTCCAGGTGAGCTGCCTCGGGGTGGAGCCCAGCGTGGAGGGAGATGACGGCCGCCTCGTGCTGACATCACGCAACCCTGACGGCAGCGTGGTGCGCTTCCAGCTGCTGGCCTCTTCCCCTGAGATCTGCAGGGCCTGGGTCAACGATGTGGTTCAGATCTTGGACAGCCAGCGCAACTTCCTCAATGGTTAGACCCAGCTGAACTCTGAAAATTACACAACATCCCACGCCATTTATCCATAAATCATAATTCATCCTGGCATATATTTCATCCTTCCATATATAGACTTAAGTGCACTTATGAATCAGTGTAAGATGAGAGGAGTGTTTTAGTTTGACCATGTATTGTGGCCTTTGGAAACCCATTCCTGCCCCCGTTCCAAGAACATTTTCTAAAAACAAAAATGTCATGGTCAGTCAACATAATGAGATTCAATGTCAAAATTGTCTAATAGTACTTTATTTATACTCCCTTTTCAATGTTTATAGGCAGTTTACAAAGATGTACATCACATAACAATCTAGTTGTTAGCAGATTCAGTGTTAATTAATTATAATTCACAAGTAAAATATGCCCCCATAAAATATGTCATAATTATTGATGTAAAAACTGCACATTAATAAACCTTAATGTCCTTATCTGCCTTTACCCGCACAATATAAATATGAATGTCAATGCAAAATAAACGCGATGAAGTAAACTGACAAAATAAATGTTGAATCCAAATGACACAATGCTTTGTAAAATGTTCAGAATCAGGTACAGACCATTGTTTTGTTTTTTGTACTGTTCTCGTTTCTGATTTTATGTAAAGCGTCTTTGAGCACTAGGAAAAGCGCTATAAAAATCCAATTTATTATTATTATTATTATTATAAGTACCGTCTATGTTTCTGTGTGTCTCCTTCAGCCTTACAGTCACCCATTGAGTACCAGCGACGAGAGAGCAAGTCTAATAGCCTGGGCCGCAGCATGAGGCCCCTGCTGTCTGCTGCCAGCGCCCTGCGGCCCCATTCCTCCGCCTCCATTGACCGCCATAAGCTGCCATCCCTTCACTCTCACAACACCTCCCTGCCCACACTCTACCTGCCCAGCCAAGGCCAGAACCAAGGACCCATCGAGACCTACGCACTGCGGGAAGTAGGTTTCTTTCGCTGTCTCCTTCTTTGCCCTATACTGTGACAATGTTCTGCTGCTCACTCAAACACAGTATTTCTATTTATGAGACACTTGAGACACAGCCAGGCCCGTTATCTCTTAAAGGTCTCCTATTATACTATTCTTAACATATATTATAGGTCTCAGATATATAGAAAACATGTCTATGAAGTGTTTTTCTCAAAAAACCTGAGGGTTTTGTTTTTTGACACACCGGGGACACATATTTATGTATAAAAGACATACAAAAGTGCATTTTGCATGATAGGAGACCTTTAAGCTTTTTTGACAGGGCGGCTGTACTGTCACACATATGGGATAATTGAAATAACAAATGATATTGTGTGCATGAACTACAGTGTTGCTGAGTGACCTACCTGTTGTTTGCCTCTGCAGCCCACCCTGGTCCAGCCGTGCCCTGCTGACTCCACCACTGTTTCTCTGTCACATGTCCAACTGGGCTTCACTGATCAGCCAAACTGTCAAGCTGTGTCAAATGGGATGTACACACCCAGCACACAAAGTGCACAGGTAGTGTACACGCATGCATATAGAGACTAAGCTGTGAATATGATATCCCTTCAACTGTAATTATTTCAGAGCTAAACTGGGTGCTCCTGGGTTGTATCGCAGTCATTATTCAACACCAGCAGTGGGATGATAAATGACAAAACAGGAAGTTAACCATACAGGGAATAATGGGCTATTGTACAACATCTTACCATCATTCCACTCTGCTCATTAGGGTAATTAAAAGATGAAAGACTAATACATGTTAACCATTTATTAAGACACAAATACAGTGAAGGGTTTTTTGAATCATAAGAAGAGTTCAGTCAGACAACTCGCGTGTTTCTTTAACATGTTTATTAGAAGCAGCATATAGTTGAGTTTGGCGTCTAGGCTCGGGCCTCATCACTCCACAGATATACTGTACATAGCACGATGAGTGATGATTAAATAACTAACCCCCGGGCCTACAGGTGGAAGCTGAGGTGGAAGCTGGGGTGGTGGTGGGGCAAGCAAGCAGCAGCGACGTGGAAGTAGCTGCAGCAATATCAGCAGCAAGCAAAGCATAGAGAGATATCTGGCAGGTTAATAGAGCGGCATATTAAGGAGACTCTGTTTGGTTGGCTGTAGAGTGGCAAGGGGCGTTATGTATGAATGCAGCATATGTGTTCGAGTTGACTGCCTGAACTAGCTCGCAGGCTTCGCCCCATTTATTTCTCCCCCTATTGGATGAAAAGGGAATCGATAAATATCTGGAAAGTTATGAAGGAAACTGATTAACTTTTAGCTGTGCTGGTTTCAGTTAGTTGAATACAAAGACGGAAAATTACCACATCTCTGTTTTACACTAAATACAACAAGGTTCCATTTTACGCCTGTCTGCCTTTACCCTGTAGTTTTAACCATCTGGTCAGTCAATAATGGCAGCATCCTGTTGTTGGGCTTTACATTACCATTAGTGACGTCTCCCTCTGTCATCACTGGGCTGATGTCCTCAGTGTTGACAGCCCATCAGTTGTTGTTCTCCATACTTCTCGCTGTTTACTCAGTCTGGATAGGCTCGGTACATAATAAACAGGAAGCTAGCTGAGCCAGACGAGGAAGTCAGAGAGAGATGCCTATCAAAGCCAGCAAAAGGTTTCCCATAATTGTGCTGGGATGAAAGGACGGACCTGGGCCAATGCATTTTCAGACTGCAGCTTTAATTGGAAAATTGCGTTAAACTAAGTTTCTTGTTTGGTATAAAAGTGAACCTACAGTATTATGAGTGAATATGTGCAGTACATGGAAGTACGTTGTGATGAATGTTCCCTCTATCCCCAGCAGAGAGCAGGAGAGGGCTGCCGGAGGGGGCCGCCTGCTGATGCTGGGAGCCAGGCTCCACTGTCGGGCCCCTCAGCCGGACGTCGCCCCAGCAACCTGGCTCAGCTTGCCGAGGACGACCTATGAACTCTGAGGCTCTCTGTCTCCTGGGGCAGGAGGACAGCAGCTAACGCCACAACTGAGGAGACACGAATACTTCTCCACTGTCTGTTAATGCCAGGCTGGACCCTTACCTGGTTCGGTCATAACTTATGGAGGATACTGAAGGAACCTGAGGGAACATATGAAGGAATTATGGGCTGAAACTATGAAATTACTTTTTTAGGGAGCCATTTAATGGGTAGCCTTGGTCACTTTTGAGTGTCCATGGACAGTACCCACTACCCAGTGATACTGGACTGGTATGACAATTTGTGCTTTCTACCTTTTTGAGAGATTGAATATCTTCTCTCTTTCAAAGTTCAAGGGGAATTCGTTTGATGAAGAAATATCCATTCCTATTTGGGGCGGTCACTGGAGTTACATGTGTGCCTGAATGTTTGTTTATGCAACAATGTGTGGATGTGTTTGTAAGCATGAACGTGTGCAAGGAGTGGCAGTAGCTCCTATTGTATCTTTGGTAAATATCCTTCATAAACATGTTTTTTTCTGATGCCCCATTGTGAAGACAAGTACAGCCACATTACTACATTTTGTCATTCCCCTGCTGACAACTGCTGTTTGTGTTGACAAGAATAGGAAAGGCAGAACACTTGATTTGAACACGCCAGTGGAATTTCATCTGAAAGTGAAGAAGTTTCTGTCTTGCTACATAGCTGAGAGCTCCTGGGTGCTCTCTTATTCTGTTTGACCGGCCCTCGTTTGATCTGGACAAAAAAGGCGTGAGTGAGCCCCCTAGAGGTTCTCTGTGGGAATGACGTCACTTCAGAATACTTTTTCTCTCTTTGGGCAACTCCTGAGGAGTTTCGAGATACAGTAGGTGCATTCAAAGGGACTGCTTTGCTGACCCAAAGTGTTGCATGAACCATCTCTGTTGTGATTGACTGACACAATGCTGCTTTACACAGATCGTTCGTTCTAGGCAGAAGTAGAGAACCTGTGATTTTGGGGGAAAACCCACTTAAAAGTGCATAAACTTATATGAATTGTTTTATTAGTCCACTGTTGTTATGTCAAGGCTGTGCACCATTTCTATAATCTCTGTTTAGCTTTTGCCCTCATGGACTAAATACTGTACAGTGCATACCATAAAGGAAATCATACATTTCCACTTGTAAGATGAAGAAAGACCCTGGTATGCCAAGAAGTGTTACCGTTTCAGCTGGTTAAAATGAAGGATAAGATGTTGCTGGATAAACAGAGTGATGCTGATGGATCTGCATGCTCTTCCTCAGACAACAGTGCCAAAAAACAGTAGCTCGCCACTCAAGTATTTCATGCTCTTACTTATAGTTCAGTTTGCCTGTACTCTTACAAATCAATCATAGATATATGTGTTACTATCTGGATCGTAACGCCTAAATCACACCGAGAGAAGCAAGTAAATGAATGAGGCTATTTAGTCACTATATAAACGTTCTTCTCTGTGGCCAGTAGAGGTCCCCACAAGGCTTTCACTTCCAGTTAGATCATACAGCTGCACCAAAGATCAAGAGGCCTCATGTTTCAGTGCTCACAATCAAGCAAAAGCTGCTCAATGATCTGTCCAAAACCCAGTAATAAACAACATAAAATGAACTGAAAGGTGAGATATGAGTGGAACCATCTCACAAAATACATCTGCAGTTAATGTAAACTGTCTGTTTCATGGGAATGACTGATCAGGCAGTTTTTCTTTAATACAAAGCAAAGCCATTATGGAGAACCAGAAAGACACCAACACCAGGAGAGAGTTTGTGAATGCCATCATGTTTGACTGACTGTTGTATCATATCAAATAAAAAGTCTTTATGAAAATGGATGTGGTGTTTATGTTTCTCTCTAAAAATAACTGTGCTTTTATTGCCCACAGAGACATATCTTTGTGTGGCTGTGGATCTTTATATTCTAAGGTAATACTATTATCTGACACATACTCAATATGTTTTTATTTTGTATTCATTCAACTAGAAGCGCAACTAAAGTAGTTGTATTAGCCATAGGCCATGGTCCTCTGACTCTACCTTTGGGAACCTCTGACGAAGACAAAGGCAATGCATTTTGCTTGCTGTAGCATCCCCCTTGCAGAAAGTTCAAACAGGATTAAAAACAAAGAGAAGAAACCCCTGGATGAGCAGACATCTGGTTGGCTGGCCTCTGAATAAAGCCCCTTTCTGGGCAGTAAAGCAAGGCCGATCGTAACACGGCTGTGATATATGGAGGAGGGGGGGAAGGGGTATTAACTTTCACAAGGGTGCAAAATCAAAGGGAGTTCCTGTCACCACTGAGGGGGTCTCAGCAACAGGGGTCCCATTCACAGGGAATTCCTCTCCAGTGCCCTCTGTTGCATCTGTTGACTCAATCTTCTCCATTGAGAGAAAGAAAACACTCATTAAAAGCCACATGACTGTGAACTTGATTGCAGCAGGAGAGACAAACAGCCCCATCAATGGATTGAGTATTTACTTTGAGGTGTGAAAATCTTTGAACAGCCCACCATGTTAGGGCTTCTTTAGGAGCTTCTTCCTTCACACCAACAGAACAAAGGCAGCATTTGTATTCTGAATGCCATCAGATTATCATTTAAATAAAATGTTAGATCTTTAGGAGCTCCGGGGCATCCGAAATTCACACGTTTACTGAATGAGCTAAGAGGGTAAAAAACTTTCACTGTCAGTCACAGATACTGTATTTAAAGGTAAGACAATAACATAATTGGAAACAGTGTACGTTTCAGCAAAGACAATGTTTATTAAAATGTACATGCGGCCATAACCATAATAAAATTGTTCATGATATTTATACATAATTTACAAAGAATTGAAACATTTAAAATGTTTGCTAATCTGAAGCCGTGGTACTTCACAGAAATCTGTAGATCAAAGACTTACATTTCAAAAAAAGATCCTACCTTGAAGCTGACAAATTAGGGTTTGTTTTGGAGAAGAACAAATCTAATTAACAGCAACAGAAGCTCTTTCCATTTTAAACCTGTTCTCAAGAGCCGAAATTATAGTTTTTTATTCAGCAACCTTCTGCTGTAAGGCATACATTTATTTTGAACATGATAATATGGACATATTAAGGTAAACCTTGTGGAACTCGCTTATGTCTGGCACATCCTTCACAAAATATTTACAAAATGAATGTTTAAGATTTTTCCATTTTTCCATCAGTTCAAATTTAAACAAGTATTATTTATTTAAGGCATAATACCTTTCTTGTTTCAGGAGAAATAGTCTTTTGTGGCATTTTGAAGTCGACAAAATTCAGCACAACTCTTGAAATATCACTGAAAAAGAACTTCAATTCATCTTTAAAGCTGCCTTGCCTCAAAAAGAACATGATAACCTTTTTAAAGATGGTCTCTAAATATATTTTCATGGTACTACTTGAAGTCAAAAGTAGGGCTTAGACAACAGAAGATGTTCTGGGAGCTTGATGCTCACCCTCTAGTGCAAACCTATGGCAGTGAGTGTAACACAGTCTGTTCATAGTTGATTATTATTGTGGAATGATGGATTACTCTCTCTTGATATTGGTGAGCAGCGGGTCCGTGCTCTGTGAAGGCTGCGCAGACCGGCTCTTCCTGGTTTGGTGGGTCTTCACATGTTTGGAGAGGTGGTCACTCCTCATGAACCTCTTGCCGCACTGCTGGCACCCAAAACGCTTCTCCCCGGTGTGTGTGCGGAGGTGCCGCTGTAGCTCGTCTGAACGGGTGAAGCTTTTCCCGCAGAAGAGCCAGTTACAGATGAAGGGCCTCTCCCCGGCGTGCCAGCGCAGATGTGCCTTGAGGTGAGAGGTCTTCTTGTACACTTTGCCACACTCTGGGATGTGGCAGATGTGCAGTCTCTTCTTTCCAAACTCTAACCCCCCTCCATTTGCCTGGCAGTTGGGGCACTTGCAGCGGCGGCAGCGGCGTGTGGAGCTCAGGAGGCCCTTGGAGGTGCCTTGGAGAAGAGCAGCTATCTGTGGCTGGTGGCCCAAAACCAGCTGTCTGCCTAGAGAGAAGTGATGGTTGGAGGGGGTGACGTTGGTTTGAGGTAGGCTCCACCATTGCTGCCCTTCGTCCATATGGCCTCCGGGCAGGTGATGCCGGGCAGAGGAGTTCTGGAGGAAGCTGGGGAAGTTTTGTGCCACACTGTTGTGCTGAGGGTAATAGGAGCCGGTGGTCTGCGACTGTGAGGACAGCACTTTCACGGGGGAGAGTTCAAAAGAGTAAGAAGAAGGTGGTTCAGCCGGAGGGGTGAGAGGCAGCTCATGGTGGTGGTGATGATGGGGGTGATGATGATGGTGACCCAGACTAGGCTGCATGTGTCCGGGAAACTGCACCTTGGGCACCGTGAAGGTCATCTGGTGTGTGCTGAGGGCTGAGCTGGGCGCCATTTCGTTGCTCCAGAGCTGGAACATCCCCGCTGTGGAGCTGACGGTGCTCTCGTAGGGGAACTGGGAACCTTCTGAGCCCATCGCACCCCCCACCTGCCAGGCCTGGCTACAGGTGGTGGCCAGGAAGGACAGGGCGTTGGGGGCTCCCTCTGGGGAGGAGCTGGGCGTCCGGTCCTGTTTGGTGATACACAAAAATACATCATAAGCCACACTGAAGACAAGTCCAAGTATTAAATCTTCATTCATTTAAAATAATATGACCTAATTTTATTACACTATCATAGGATATTGGCACTATATCTGAGCAAAAAAGTTTGAAAGAAAGATACATTTTAAACTTTTAAATAACCCTGCTACTTAATTTGTTGTGTTGCCCTAATTGGGGTTTTCTGTCTTTTCTAGAACTCCGATTTTTTTTAAACAATTCAACCACTATGATAAGCTTAAATCTTCACACCGTTCAATCTTGTGAAGCATATTATTTCAATACACCCAAGTTGCCGAGTGGTGACTTTCACCACCACTAAATAAAATAATAGAAGGCGTCAAAGATATGATTAAACAACAAACGTTGTGGTCGAATGTACTTATTGCAAGTCGCTTTGGATAAAAGCGTCAGATAAATGCAATGTAATGTAATGTGTAATGTAACAACAAACCTGTAAGAAGGTGTGCAAAAAGTTGTCAGTCCTTTGTATCGCGAGCGCAGCCATCTGTCCTCGCGCTCTTCCACGCACCTGCAACACAAACTGCGCCGAGAGGCTCGAAGCACAAAGTCTCAACTACAGCTCGGGGTGCAGAAGAGAAGAAAATATGCTCTCGGATGACTCCTTGTGAAAGTAGACTGAAATATCCCGCGTCACTAAAATGTCCCTCAGTCCGCCAGGTAATTGTTGTCAGTGTGCGAGCAGTCCAGACAATCTGCTGTTGGAGCAGAGAGGTCTGAAGTTAGAGGCAGAGAGGCGGGCAGTAAATCCTTGCGATCATCTCAAAAGCGCCAGAGCTGTATCTTCTCTTTATAGAGTGAAAAGATCCTCTCAACGGGGTCTCCAGTATGATGCAGGAGAGCGAGTCAATAGATGGGAGATGTGAGGGTGGAAGGAGGGGGGGATTGTTAGGTGAAAGGGTGGGCTACTCATAATTTCACTCAATTTCAACCAAATGCTGACCTCAAGTGTTGACTCCTCCTCCAATTGTTCTGAAAAAAAGAAAGCATGATAAGAGGTTTCCTGTGATATCTAAATTGAGAGTTTGAACTTCTCCGGACATCCCATGGTATTTTTCCACTTCTTTAAATAAAGAAAAGGTGCATGCATGATTTTGAAAAAACATTTCAAATTGTTTAGTGTTTCAGCAACTTTCATTTTCTACATTTAGAACCACAATATGCTGAGACTGTGATAAACTCTAAGATTAAAATAGCCAACGTAGTCAAATATTTCCCACTGTGGGAGTATTCACATGCGGCTTCAAATCCACTGTGGGAATTTAAGTAAAGATAGTAGATACATGGATTTTATATTTTTGGCAACAACCAGTGATGCACTTTTGAATGAAAACGTTGGCAATCTACAGTCAACATTATATCTAGGCAAACAAACAGAGGTATGGGAACAATACATTCATACTTACAGGAGGGGGGGGGAAAGTGCTTTTTCCTTTGTATACTCTCATCTTGCATAACGTCATGCAACAAAGGATAGAAAAAGGGCAAAACAAGTGTTCATTTTTTTAACTTAATTTCCTGTAACCATAGATTCACTTGCACTTTAGATATGGTAAAATTGGACATTTTACAATGTGAGTTTGAGTTAATGCATCATTTTTGCTTAGGTGATGTTAACAGTAAATTAATAGATGATTAGGAACTGTTTTGGACAACAATTAATATTTACATTGATAGCAGTTTACTCCATTGTTTGGTATTTTCTCCAGATGTCACATAAGACACTTTGTGTTTGTCGGCAGGCAGTTCCCGGCCTAGCAGGCGTAAGGCTCACACACCATGAACACAGTGACAGTATTTTCCCTCACAAAGCTAACTGATAAAACTCAATCAAAGCCTCTGAGTTCTCACCAGTGGGTGACATGTCAAATAGGCTGCCCTGTGTGACATTCTCACATTTCAGAGTTCAAGTAGAGGCCGCTTCAGATCTTCTCCATTAAATGCAGATTGAGGCTTAATCTCATTCTGTAAGTCTGTTCACCATTACAATGTTAAGAGTTTAAATCCAGGCTGGGAACCTGCTTCTCATGTAAATTCCTGGTTCCTCACTTACTCACTGCTCCCTGTTTCACAGACTGTGATCCTTAAATAAACATGCTTTAAGGAGGAGCCAGTTAGAATTAGAAATACATTAACTTAAAATGTAAACTTTATAACTCAGTATGGGCACAAACGTAAAGGTGTTTGTATTCAATGTGTTAGTCATTTTTACTTGACAGTTAAAAATAATTAAAGGTATTGAAGATGGTCTGTAAACTGTGTTTGGCTCAGGACTTTTTTAAGTTATTAGTGTGAAAGCAGATACGACAGGATTTAAATGATGTCCTTGACAGAGAGACAGCTCATTTTAAAACAAAATATTTGTCCATGCTCTTATTGACGTGCAGACTTCAGCTGCAGCGTGCTAAAATCACACACTTTTTTTTTTCATATATTAACAAAATTGAGCAAATCTAAAAAACTGTTATGGAAAGAAGAAATGAAAATGAAGACTCAAAAAAATATTTACTGAGTGTTAAAGCATATGCAATTATATTAGATTTAGAAAAAGCAATAGGAAAGATGTATCTTAATGAATTATAAATTAAAAGTGTTTTCTAATAGCTCTGGCTTGAAATGTAGGAATCAAAAAAGAATTTCAGAAAAGACAAACACATGCATTTAAATAAACACATGCATTTAAAATAATAAATCAATAACATGATTTAGTTTGAAACAAATTCCTTATGCAAATATTAAGTATGTGATGTAACTCCAACAGCATTGCGGAAAATAGTCTAATTCCAAATGAAAGTGAACATTTAGGATGAAAGAAACCCGTAGTAAAGAAAGAGCGGAGGACATGAAAATAGGAGTGTATCTTGGAAGCAGAGGTTTGCTGTGTCTCTGGTTTATTACGGAGCAGAAGTTGTTAATTACCCTGATTCTTATTTCCTGTCCCCTCTCCCCCACACCACCCCACCCCCACTGTACTGCCTCCCAGATGAGTGGCTTTGAAGTGCAAAGTACTCTCTCCTCACTTTGAACTGTGAAAACAATGCTCATGTGGTGGTGCTTACCTTCCCCATGTTACCTCATTTAAATAGACCTGGATACGGCTTGCACAGTTTTCAAGGGAAAACTCATTTCCAGAGAAAGAGGTCCCTGTGTTCATTAAACAGCTGGTGAGATTGCCGCTAATCAGGCCCGCTCCCTCCGTCATACACTGCAGGCTGCTCTGACTGGGTGGCTACCAGAAAATTCAACTTCAGAAACCAACACAGGCTACATCCCAACAAGGCGATGCAGACACTTTTATGGACCTATTACTAAACAGAAAATTAGCTCAAGAAAAAAGAGCACATATAGCTCAACAGTGTTTTTTCAGGGAGTTTAATGATCTGAAATCACCTGAGTTTTAAGTCCTTTTTCCCACAACAAAAAACAAATGGAGCTGTTTTTGTTGCAAACATAATCTTACTCTTAAACTCAGAACGTAGAATATGCGAGTGGCTGCTCAAGCTGTTTTTATCATGCCTGGGGGGCAGTTTAAAAGCCTCAGATCACTAAATTGTCCCAGCTGTCTTGACCATCTGCACTCGAAAAGGGTAGCCGCAGAGGAAAGCGGCTTTTGTACTGGTGGCCATGTCAAAAAGCCAATTTTACAGCACCGTGCTGACTCAATTGCCCTCATGTGACAAATGCAGCCTAATGGATGAGACAGACAGCATGTAAAAGCCTGCTTCTAACTGAAGTGCTTCACTCTTTAACCATTCAAATCCAAGACAGGACAAGATGGGCCGTAATTACCATGACACTCAGTTTCATTGGGATGAGCAGCAGCACCAACAGCTGGACTTTACAATGCAACAATCTGATAGCTCATTCAGGAGTCTCTTTCCTGTTTCCTATTGAGTTAGAAATGTGTGTGTTAGTGTTTCAAAGGGAGGGGGCAGAGAGATACTAAAGAGACATTGATGCTCACAATCAGGCACATTGATAAGGTTTACTAAATCTAATGCGCCCCCTCAGTAGTGCCTTGGAGAAATCACATCGATCAGGATGCAATGTGGAAACTTTTCACATCAGTCACATCATGTTATATCTTTTGTTGTGCTTCGTCATCTGAGCAGATCAAGTCCTCCTCCATCTGTGAACTATTGTTGAGGACTGTTTCATGTCTGGCAATCCATACTTTTTTACTAAAACTCATCTTAAATACAAATGTTTATTTATTTTGAAGAAGGAGATGGATAAACTGATATAAACAGCTTCTTCTTCTGCCACAAAGGTACATGCAGGTTATGCAAAAAATGCATACATTCTGAAGGAATACATCAGTTCATTCAAATCATTCAGTTATTTAGTATGAATATATGTATTTCTATATTTGGAGAGTATTTCAATCTCAGGAAAATACTTTAAACATCAATTAATAATTAATTAAATAATATATTTAAACATATCTCAAAGGGATATCTTAAGCTGTTATCACTCTATATTTATTTTTAGCTTTTTTCTGCTGCAAACAAATCCTAACATGCATAATTAAAAAAATAACAAAAATTAAATCACAAATCTCAGAATTGCAATATGTTTTCATTACTTCTCATGCCGTGATATCACAGCAGGATTTAGTTTTGATTCCCACTCTGCATCACAGTTTATATCTGTAGGCTTGTGAGAAGTAGCAAACTACAATAATTCCCTCATCTCTTGTCCATTAGCATGTACAAAAACCCCAAAATCTCCAGTCTTGGGCAGACAGCACACATCCCCACTTGTCTAAGAAAACTTTTATCAATACCAAGAGCACTTGAAGTTTGTTTGCATTTTGTTTTCCAGCACTCTTAACAACTTCAGAAGTCAGATCACAGGAGTATCTGATCAAAGCGCTTCGTGGTTAGTTCTGGAAACACAGGAGTGCTACGCCACGCTTTGATACTCCACATCAATATTTCAATTCAACAATCACTTGACATGCACCCATACTCCCAGAGACGAAAGACGAAAGGGGAGGAAGAGAGAGGGAGAGAGAGAGATCCAGGGAAGATGTAGGGGGTTTGGGAAGTACATATAAAAGAAATGGATTGAAGAAATTCCTTCCTTTTTCACCTTTGTGGCAATGTTGTATAAAATGAGCTGATATTTCCTTTACACTTATAAAGAAGTGTACTAAAATCATTACAAAGGCAGCCCAAGTTAAGTCAATACGTTTAAACATGCAACATATTTTACAAAATGTTGAATTGCCTGGCAACTTTGTCTCACAAAATGAAAACACAAAACTGACAGGAACTTTTGGTCTAATCGACTCAAGTTTCACAGTCACTTCACTTATATATCAGTGCTAAAACACTTGTCACAGTCTGAAATTCTAGGCAGAGGACGTGTTTCATGTTTTATCAAAGGAAAGTAGTACAGGAACTCTGCAGTGATAAAGATGAATACAGTCCATCTGCCAAATGTCACTTTCACAGTGCTTCATAATCATTTCATCATCTCTACAGGATATGACATGCTTTGAAGGTTTCGGCCTATAAAAATATGGCTTTTGATCTGAAAGAGAGACTTGTAGCATGAAAAGACGTGTAGTCAATCAAGAGATATTACGTGACACTGCTACTGGTAAAGCTTCAAGTGTGGTTTACAGCACACTGTTACAGAGTCATTATGAAGATGGAGGCAGCAGCCAGTTAGCATAGAGAATGGAAATAACGAGAAAAAGTTATCGTAAAAACGATAGAAACATCTTCACAAAAAATATAAATAAACAAAAAGAAAAGAACCGTCAGTTTATGGCAAGTTACTATGAAGAAATATGACCAGACCCTCAAGAACAATCACTATATAACCCAGTTTCTCGGCATTTCGTGTTATAGTCACGAAATTCATTGAATCTATTGATTCGTGTTCATCAACACGATTTTCCCCTTTTTTTCGTGTCACAGAACAATTTTAAAAGCAATGTATTTGTATTGGTAGTATGTTTCGTGCCTGCACCACGTCTTTTTGTCCGGTCGGGTCTTGGAAGACCAGAAGCTGTGTGGTTCATAAAAACATTTTCTTACTCAATATCTTACCCTAAGCCTAACCCTATCCCTTTTATTTAAAATTGTATAATGTCGGAGTTTTTTTGCCGTCCGCGAGGAAAGGAAATGGGGCCCAGAGCCTCAGAATACTGAAATCTGTATTTTTTTGTCATCTTTTTTCCTTCTAATTTGTTATTATTTGGTGCAGGCACGAAACATACTACCAATANCCTGCACAGTGGGGTGTGTGTGCGTGTTTGTGTGCGTGCTTGTATGTTTACAATGCTGTGACAGACCAGCTATGTGTCAGACAACTGCACAGTGAACAGCTGTGTGTGTGTGTGTGTGTGTGTGTGTGTGTGTGTGTGTGTGTGTGTGTGTGTGCCCTGCTTTTCACCTTGAGCAGCAGCTGGTACTTCATGATCCTTTGGACAGGTTTGATGAGCAGGTCGTTGAGCTGCAGCCTGTGGCCCAGCTGTTGTCGCAACTCCTGTCAGAAGAGACGGACACAACAACACGAGTCAACATGACAGCCGCAGCAAACGCGGCAGCTAACGGCCAATATAATCATTCTAAAGGAATATATCACGGGGATTATACTGTTTATCTAATAGTCATGTGTTTACTGTCAATGAAAAGGAACTGATTACAATCTCAATAATAAATGGCAGCTGGAAAGACACCTAAAGGGTCATGTATACTACAGTATATAGCAAATAAACAGTTAGACATACAGTACATGCATACTAAAGGGCATAGTAACTACAGGCACATCTACAGTGTTTGACCTGAATCAATAAGTCATTCAACCTTCAATGTAGCTTTGGATAAACATTTCAGTATTATAAAAGGTATGCAATCCAACATATTTGCTGGCTATAGCTCCTCATATGTAAGACTTTGATGGAAATCTAATATTTTTGGGTTTTGGACTGTTGTTCACAAAACAGGAGGGAGGCTGTGGCTCAGTGATATAGTGCGCTGATATTTGGATCAAGGGGACACTGGTTCAAATCCCGCTGCAGTCAGCATGTTGCTGTGTCCTTGGGCAAGACACTTCACCCAAAATGGCTCCTGTGGGGATTGCCCACAGTATTGAATGTATGTATGTACGCTTTGGGTAAAAGCGTCTAACAAGTGATACGTAATGTAAAAAGCAGACCATTTGAAGATGCATCCTTTGAATCTAGGAGCTTTTTAAACTTTTTTCTGACGGAACCAAAACTACTTATTTGAATAAAATACTCACCTCAAAGTAAGTCTCGATGTACTCTGAGACAATATGTTCGGACTTGGGCTTGTTCTGACAGTATACTACGTACATATGCAGACGCCTCTCCTGCAATACAAGCCAAACAAACATCAGATGACAAAACCATGCATTTGAATCTTTGATACAAATAAGTGACAAAGGGAAACTTCCTTGTCACAACATTTTATTTTGATATGCAATACAGATAAATAAACATTGCAAATAAAATAAATGTTAGCGGAAAACAGGACAACGATCTATGTGCAGTGTAGAGCAGAGCATAATGATTTGTCTCGGAGAGCGGGGGGGGGCTTTGAAGCTGACTCAGTTGGGTAAGCGCTTTCTCTCCTGTGCGTAATTGGCATGGAAGTGAGGATGTGGCAGTCCTGAGAGTCCTAATGGAGTTACATGTAGATGAGCATGGGGTTATGTATAATTCACCCAGGTTACCCTAAGTGTAACCAGAGCCTTTTAGAGACTGCCAATATAAGGCTGTACCTAGCAACACGCTGCATGGCTCTGTTACCTAGAGACCAGTGAGTGGCTCCACCTGAATATGGACATCGTGTAACACTGCAGAGGACGGCTGCATGTGAAATATGAGTATTCTTTCCACCAGCATCCAGTATACTAGCCTGGGTGAGTGTTTACATGTGTTTATGTGATGCATGTATCATGTGAGCGAGCACACATGTTGCGCATTGGTATCACAGCTCTCGTTAAAAGCAGATTGGGCTTTCTGCATTTCATTAGAGCCATGTTCCCTGTCTGCTTGTTTTCACAGTTTGACACCATGCTTAGATTTAGTTACAAGTTTCTTTATTCCCCCACAGGCTTTTTAAGTTAATTATCCCGTGGGCTCAGGCTTATTGAATTTTTTTGAAGAGCTACAGACAGACGGAGTGAATATAGCAAAAGAGAGACACATTTGACTTAAGCATCTTCAGACAAGAAAGACAAGTGGGTCAAATGACCCATCATGTCTGCCCCATCTGCGTGTGCCACCACTTAAACAATAAGCAACCATCTAATTTCACACCCTGTGTAAGCCCTGTGACCCCATACCACCCATTCTATTCTAAGAACAATGTTCTTAACAGTGGAACTTTCTTTGCATGCATCCCTTCACTTCATTCCTGAGCAAAAAATATATTTAAAAAGGAGTTTGTGGTCGTTTCGGGTGAACAAAAAGCCTTCATATCAAAGAGACTAAGCTGAGAGTTTGTTTTTCTTTTGTCGTGTTCATGTGGTCTTTTCTGGCTGTTTTTTCCCTGGTGTTTCCGACCAGTCCAGCCCAGACTGGAAATTGGCCAGTGTTTTGCTGAGTGTGTGTGTGTGTGTGTGTGTGTGTGTGTGTGTGTGTGTGTGTGTGTGTGTGTGTGTGTGTGTGTGTGTGTGTGTATGTGAGTGTTTGCCGTGTGCAGTGTTGTAAAAACAGAGCCTGGGCTAAGCAGTATCAGTAACAGGGAAATGGAAGGAGAGACGCCGGCAGTCAGTTGAGAGAGATGGAGAGACGTAGGGTGTAGGATAAACAGGAGCAATGAATGTTTTTCTTAGCTCTATTTACCCTCGCGCAAAACAACACAAGGAAGGAGATCTAGACACCTCCACTGTGTGTGTGTGTG